GGTGTTTGTAATTTTTGCCTATGCAGACATTCTCCAAAGTTCTTCGGAGCTGGGCTTCAAAAAAGTTCATGACTGGATGGTATGGAATTTCTTCCATTGCCTTATTTTCTTTTCCAAGTTTTGGAAGAATGTTCTTTCTGGCTCACGGATGCTAATATCTTTGTCCTCTTGCTATCAAGTGAGCTTAAAATAAAATCTGGATCCTGACTCGTTTGAGCATGCTGAATGGGCCTTTGGCTTCTTTCTTCTTGTGGAACCTTATCAATGGCTTCCTTGAGTTCTCTTTGACAAAATCCCATGTTATTTTGAATCCATTACTGTTGTCCATATTATTGTCTCCATAGTCCTATTGAATGTATGTATACATTAACGACAATTAATTTAAAGCATAGAATAAGTTATTAGGTCTTCAATATCATCCTCATATTTCTACCAGAAGCTCAACATAGTGAGTGCAATCACCAGATATGGCTTCTAAAACCTTCATTTAAAATGTGGAATTGATTCTCATGCTTTTGTGTTGAGGATCTGAAGTGGCCCTTTGTTTGATGGTGATGTCCGTCAGTGATACTTTGGCAATTTGATACTGTGATTTGTTTTTAGCTTCATTGGTCACTGATTCTCGTTCTTGGTTTTGTTGCAGTGTTATCCTCTTCCCAATTGCTATTACATTCTATGTAACATGGTGGTTTATTCACTTTGTGGATGGCTTTTTCTCTCCAATCTATGCTCAACTTGGAATCAATATCTTTGGTAAGTACTTTTGCTCAGCATTAGTATACTAGTACTCTTTGGAAAAACTTGAAGTTTGAGGAAGTTCCTCTGACCATTGAAACCTAAAGTTTTGTGGATGCAAATGGCTCAATATCCATTTGCTTCTGGCTTTTTATGCTGGATTATTGTTTCTTAGGAGTTCCATATCACTAGAGCCACTTCTCATAAGTTAAAAATTGTTCCCAAGCTCTGATTTGTTCAAGCGTACCTCAGTGCTTGAAGTGAATCCTGTTTAGTCTCTCGCAGTGCCTTTCTGAAATTAATTAATCCTTGTTCTCGGACTAGCAGAAGCTTCTCTCTGAAATCCTGATAAGGACTTGGTATCTGGTGCTATATAGTCCAGGAACTGCTGCTTTATAGTTTAGATGTTTGGTGTTCCTTCTGTTGCATTTTGTTTGTCAACCAACATGGTTGGGCAGAGTAGTATTTGGTTGAAGTGTGGTCTCTCTCTGCTTTCCTACTTTTTTTTTTTTTTTGTGGCGGAATGAACTGTCCTCTGTAATGCTAAACTGGTGATAACTTACTTTGCTTGTGCTTCTCTGCCAGGCCTCGGATTTGTTACCTCCATAACATTCATTTTCGTGGTTGGAGTATTCATGTCATCTTGGTTGGGGGCATCAGTCTTGAGCCTTGGAGAATGGTTTATCAAAAGGATGCCATTTGTCCGCCATATCTATAATGCCTCAAAACAAATTGGTGCTGCCATATCACCAGGTATGACTCTTTGGCAGATCTTCTGTGGATTGTAGCACATGACTTCCGATGATGGATACCATTTAAGGTCAGTTTGTACTCTTTTTTCACTATTTCAGATCAGAACACGCAGGCCTTCAAGGAAGTAGCCATTATAAGACATCCACGTATTGGTGAATATGCGTTTGGCTTCATCACTTCTTCTGTCACCCTCCAGGTTTAAATTCAAACACAAGAAAAAAAATTGTTTGCCATTGACTCAATGTCACAGCTTGTTTTCACCCATGGTCTTCTTGACACCATTAAGTTGGGAGAACATCAGCACACTTTATATCCTTGTAGGGGAATGCTTTAGAAGATCTTGCACATAAATTTTATAATATTTCCTGTTTTACTAACTGTGAGTGCAGAACTATGCTGGAGATGAGGAACTCTGCTGTGTTTATGTCCCTACAAATCATTTATACATTGGTGACATATTCCTTGTCAGTACTAAGGATGTGATCAGACCTAATTTGTCAGTCAGGGAAGGAATAGGTGAGGATTCCACTGAACTTGACGTATGAATATTTGGGCAATAGGAACTAGGAAGCTTGGTCGTACAATGATTTGTATTCTTTTGCTCTTCCTCGTTAATCCTTGCAACAGCTGAGCAGTTCACAAACTCACGGGTAGCATCACTCCGGTCACCAATACGCAGTTTACACATCTGACATACTTCTGTTAATTTCGTTAATTGCAGAGATCGTTGTTTCTGGAGGGATGTCGATGCCCCAGATCTTGTCCACTTTGGATTCTCACGTCACAGTCGATAGAAATAGACTGATCAGAAGCTGATCCCGAAAAGGAAGCAAGGCATGCAGGCAGGCAGATTTTTATTTCATTTTCCATTATTTTGCAGATCAAAGTCACCAGGTTTCGCCACTGGAAATCATCTATATCTTCATGGGCGATCATAAAGGTCATCAAAAGCATTTACTATTGTAGCGTCGGCAAGATTGTGGTGGCGAATGTAAACATTGTTTGTTGTCCAGATTGTAGGGTTTAGCATTTGGTTGGAAGGTATAGCAGTAATGGTTTGACGAAGTAGGCAGAGATGAAGAGAGAGAGAGAGAGAGAGAGAGAGAGAGAGAGAGAGAGAGAGGTCTTGTCTTAGGCTTTGGTTTTACCGTTTTTTCACCACTCTCGGTAGCAGCTCTTTCTAACAATCTAGCTTCGGTTTGAAAGGTGGTCGTGTAGATAAGATCATGGTCTTCTCTTAGGCTTTGGTTTTACCGTTTTTTCACCACTCTCGGTAGCAGCTCTTTCTAACAATCTAGCTCGGTTTGAAAGGTGGTCGTGTAGATAAGATCATCGTGTGTTCATCATTTGTCTCTCCTATGCTTGACCAACACCATTTCTCAGGTTTTCGGCTAGCGCGTAATGGGTGTTGTAACTCTGTCTCTGGCTCGTCCAACATAGCCTGCTTGCTTACCGCCACCGGCGCCATGGTCACACATTCTTCAAAACAATAGAGAACATGGAAGCAGGAGGAATTAGATTTTGAAACTTTGCCAACCAGTACTTGATAGTTAATGGTTCTGTTTATGTCACGACTCTTTAGCAGCCACATTGATTGAGCCGATCAACCTATGCTAATGACCGAAAAATTCATAGCGGTACATCGTAGTATGATACGACGAAAAGTATTCTCCAACTTGGTCTTGTTCACTTACATTTTCGTGTTCTGTTTTCATGTCATAAATTTGGCAACCGAAACGGGAAAACTTGTTTATTTTTCATTTTTTTTTCTATTCGTTTCCAACTATGAAAACCGAAAGTGGCAACTTCCTATTATTTTTGGAACGATAAAATGTTGTTTTCACCTGTTTTCAACATCTATTTTCTAAAAATCAGGAAATAGAAATAAAAGTAAACAGCTCTGAACTCTTCCGGCCTCTTTACTCCTCTCCTCCCGTTGGTAATTAGCTTGCTCTAATTCGGCTGAAGGTCATTAACCGCCACAAATGGGCCTGTGGTTATGAATTATTCATTACTGGGACCAGGCTGCCTAGATAACGTCGGACGTCAAAGCCCATGTTTCGAAACCCCTGCAATCTTCTCATCAAAACCCTAGCTGCTTCCCTTTCCCTTCCGCCATCTCTCTCTTATAAGTAGCAGTACCAGCGAATGTACCCTCATCATCTCCAGATCCACCCTCATCCACTGCTCCAGGTTTAGGGTTTGCTTTGATTTGCCTCTGTATCGCCTTTGTTTATCCTTTCTTTTATTTAGCTGGTCACCGTTTTTGATCCTCGCGTTTCATAGTTTGATTGGAGGGGGGACCGTGACGATTACTATCATGAAAGGTCTCGTTCGTCGTAATGGCTGTAAAAGGCCTTGACGACCATTCTGATATATCACCACCCATATTCTGAGTCCCCTGAATTTCGTTTTCTCTTCACCAAGTTTCCTTCTTTTCTGATTTCCAAGCGGTATGGCCGATGACTTAATTCATAAATTGACAAGCATATGTCTGAATTTTACTCCTGTTGATATTCCTAATCTTCTCTATGAGGCCAACCCACTTCGATTTCCTTTCTGGTTTTCAATGCTTCGTTTCTTTTATGCCTGTGATGAGAACTGGTGATATTGTGTTGTACGACTAAACAGCTTGATTACATAACAAACCACTACTGCCTTCCTTCTGAGGCTATCTTTTCTTTGGTTTCTTTTTGTTCATTGTTCGAAGTCTCTGTTTTTCGGTTATAAATGGGGTCAGGTGATGATTTATAATGCATAGTTCAGCTGATTAATCACTGTGAATAGATAAATTTTTAAGTCTTTCGCTCCTATCTGATGACCCTGAATCGTCTTCTTTCTCAATATTGTGATCAGGCTTTCTTAGTAGTGCTGCTAAGCTTTTTGAAATCTTGTTGTGGTGGTATGAGTGAGGTTCAGGCCGATGATTTCTCTTTTGGCAAGCATATGGCTGAATTTCTAGTTTGCATGTCGACAATAGATATATCATTCCCTATGTGCCCTTATTCTGCTACCTGACTAGTATTGATAATGGCAGTGGATGTGTTAAGAGTAGTTCTATGATTTTCTGAGCTTCTTTGTTTCATCTAAACTGCTTTCATGGAGTAGGAATCGGTTGCTGATCTCTTTCGTTCACATTCTCAACTGCAGTTCCTCAACTGTTTCATTGCTGCGGTCTGAACATCGCAAGTATGTAGGTGGAACATTGTCCATTTTCTCATTATGTTCAGGCACAGCAATCATCCGGTTAGGAAACCGTTGATTAACCTGTATTAGAAACAGGTCACAATCCGGTATTTGCTCTAACTAAAAAGAAAGGTATTTGCTCTAAATAAAAAGAAAGAAGAATAGAGTAAAAATAAAGTAAAAATTCAAAAGTAAGAAGGTACGTTTCTGTAGGAAGAAGTTAGCACTGAGCAGTCACTTATCATAATTCAGTTGCCTTTATTCTGTTTAATTTAATTATTAGGTAAATGAAATTCCAAAATATCAGGCGCCAGTTTGTTTTCCCCCATGCCCAGCAGCTTTTATCCTTCCGGGGCCGGACTTGTGCCCGGGTCCGGGTTTTCCGGTTTGACCGGACGGTCCGGCCCGGTTTTCATAACTTGGGTTCAAACTTTCCGAGACGCGAAGGCAGTTAACAAACTATAGTATGGCTTCAGTTTAAATTTCAAGCCAACGTGATCAGAAAGGAACACTAATAAATAAATAGAGATAAAGCTAGTATAGATATCAAGTTTGTCGACTCGTGGGTCGACTCGCGGGTTGACCCACTTTGATCATGACTCGGTGAGAAAAATGGGCTGCACGCACCCGCCGGGTCGACTGCCACAAGGTATCGGGTTGGAGGTCAAATTGTGTCATTTTTTTCTTTGTTTTGCGAAATGCGCTTATTTTTCGATTTTTCTTTTCGCATAACTTAATCTTTGAAATCCTAAGTTGAGTTGAAATCCTAAGTTGAATATTAATGTTATATAAGTGTTTGTGAATTTTCAATATGTTGAATCTAAGTACGAAATGTTATTTTGGTGTAATATTATATGTTATGAGATTTTATATAATTTATCAGGATAAGTACAATATAATGATGCTTTTTATATTTCCGGGCTAAACTGGACTAAAACGAGTGACCCATTAACCCGCGGGTTGACAACCTTGATAGATATAGTATAAAAAATATGGGTTAATGCTACATTTGGTTAGTGACAGGTTTAGTCACTAGAAAAAAAATAATATCAAATTTGGTAAGTCGAATTACTAAAATTGGTCACACTTAGTCACTATTCGTTAGCCTTCGTCCAACTCCGTTAGTGGAGTCCGTTAAGTGCTGATGTGGCTAATGGGAGCGTCTAGTAAGCGTCATTTTGGGTCAGAAATGGTCAAACCCGAACCGCCACATAACTTAATCCGTCATGTCATATACCCAACCCTACCCATGAACCCAACCCAACCCTGAACCAAATTTGAGCCCACTTAAACAAAATTTCAATTTTAATACCCGAAACCCTTTCTCGTTCCTCGGGAATTTGTACATGGAAGACCGGGTTTCGGATCGACGCTTCTTTCTCCGCCGCCTCTGCTTTCCCCGCATCCATCGAAGACGCTGCCCCATCGCAGAGGTCTCTTCGGTCTACCACCTCTCCATCAACCAGGACTGCGGATGCTTCGTCACGGTCTCTACGACGGGTTACGGATCTACAACACCGACTCGTTAAAGCCCTATTCTACGCGCTACATGGATTCTTCTTCTCCCTCTTCCTCCTCCTCGCTCGGCCGAATAGAGAGGCTCGGGGCTGCTGCCAACGAAGCAAAGCATGTTGCATTGGAAAAGCACGGTCGACGAGTCCGATTCCGCCGTATAGACTTCGATAGACAAGGGCTTCAGCTGTACTAAATGTATCACTACCACATACCATTTATGGCAGTACTAGACGGAGGATTTCCCCTGAATGCTTGAATGACTTCTCAGTTTTTTCTAGACAATGGTTCTTCTCTTCTCTGGTCCAGTTTTGCATCAATTCCATAAAACGAACATAGATTTCAGTCAAAGAGTGGTTGTAAAAATTCTGGAATTCGTAAAGAAATCAATTCCACATAGCAAAATGAAAGGGTTAATTGCATGGTTGGTCACTGTGATTACAAAAAATGTTCAAGTTTGGTCACTCGAAATATTTATCCATTGGTGGTACTTCAGGTTACTGAAACCGTTCACGTTTGGTCACTCTCCGTCCAACTCCGTTAACTTTTGCTTACGTGGCAGTCAACTCTAAAAGTTGACCGTTAAATGTGTGACATGACAATTAAAAAATAATTAAATAAATAAAATTTAATAATTTAAAATTTCCAGCTCATATCTAACTATTAAAAAAATAAAAATAACCGGAAATCCACAACGCTTACATCCATTAGCCATCAGAATAACCTAAGCACTAAAGAGAAGCAATATTTCCGCCATCAATGCAACTGCTGGTGATGGTGTTGATGATGATTGTTGTGATTCCGCACCGCAACGTGCTGCTGCGGCGGCGGCTGTTGATGGTGGGGCTGGTGATGTAGCTGATTGTGATGCGGATCATGATTCTGGACCGGAATCACGTGAGCAACCGACACTGGACTGTGAAACGGGACGTGGTAAGGTGAAGCCAGACCAGCCGTAGGCAGCTGCGGTGGCATCACAGCCAACCTCGACGGAAGCGGAGGAGACAGAGTAGCAGGAGGAGGCGATTGCTTACTAGGAACGAACTCGGGAGCTCGCGCGTTGAGTTTACTGAATGATGCATTTCGCGAGAGCGAGGGATCGGAAACGACCGCGGTTGGCGAATCGGTCGGAGAAGCTGCCGATGGATGTGGAGTTTCTAGGGCCGGCACCAATTCAACTACAACTTCTTCCGCCATAATTTACCGATACTATAAACTATCTTTTCCTTCTCTTTCTTTCCTTTTTGGGGATCGAAAATTGCGGAAACACCAACGTCTGCGAGCAGTCGAGCACCATGAATGAGGATGAAGAAAGGTGAATCGGAGACGTAGGAGAGGCCCACCGCGGTAGGATGAAGAATGAGGTGGTGGTTCTGGTTTTGCGGCGTTGGTTCGTAATTTAATAATTTTTATTTTTATTTTTTTAATAGTTAGAAATGAGGTGGAAATTTTAAAAAATTAAATTTTATTTATTTAATTATTTTTTAATTGTCATGTCACACATTTAACGGTCAATTTTTAGAGCTGACTGCCACGTAAGCAAAAGTTAGCGGAGTTGGACGGAGAGTGACCAAACATGAACGGTTTCAGTAAACTGAGGTACCACCAATAGATTTAAATATTTCGAGTGACCAAACTTGAACTTTTTTGTAATCTCAGTGACCAACCATGCAATTAACCCCAAAATGAAATCACCAGCGCGAGAGTGGTTGTAAACGTTCTGGGTCAAGGGGTTCAAGAGGGTAGTGTGCTTGGCTCCATCTCTCCCTGCTCTCTACACTCTGATGAGTTTGATCGAAAATAGTGGAACCTAGCGGAAGGTGAAGAACTCTCAAGGAAGGAGAAGGGTTTTCGGGTCTGCGAATGGAAACTAACCCGTTCAATTTTACAGCTTTGTTTTGTTAGGTGGGCTAGGGTTTGGATATGGGTCGGGTTGGGTGAATTCAATGGGTTGGGTCATGGGTGTATGACATGGCGGGTCGGGTTGACCATTTTCGGCCCAAAACGGCGCTGATTAGGTGCTCCCGTTAGCCACGTCAGCACTTAACGGACTCCACTAACGGAGTTGGACGGAGGCAAACAGAGATTGACTAAGTGTGACCAGTTTTAGTAATTCGAGTGACCAAATTTGATATTATTTTCTTCTAGTGACTAAACATATTACGATTTTGTAATGAAGTGACCAAATGTGGCATTAACCCGAATAAATATAGAGGTCGTTTGGATGCATTATTGAGAGAGTGGTATTTGTGTACCAAATGATTCATTATTTCTAAATGTGTTATATGTGTGGTATTGATGCGGTAATGGTTTTTAAATATCATGTTTGGTTGATGAGGTTTTTAACAAGAGTTATTCTTCAACTAAAAAGTGAAAAGACCTATGTATCCTCATTTTGGCATAACCAGCTTCCTTGTTCGAACTCTTGTTTATCCCTCTCCCACAGAGAACGCAGAAATTGCTCCTCTCCTTCTACAAATTTAAAAGTTCACAAATCACAATTAATAGTATCCAACATCCAACAATTGCGAGATTCATATATTGAGGAAAAAACAATCTGCTAGTCATATCCACAAAGAAGACGAATCAAATCAATACAAGAGAGAAAACTACTGTAACTATCTGCTGTCGACGAGTATCCTGTTGCCGCCGTCTTTCAGCTTCCTCCTATCGTCGCTGTCTTTCATCATCCTGCAGACGAAGAAGGAGAACTCTTAACTCCATATTCATGCAACCTCCAAATGCTTACCAGAAGCTCACCCCTGTCTTCTTCGCTCCTCTAACGGCATAATAAATTTCACAAATCCTATTCATAAAAAAATTCACAAATCCTCCTCCGTCGCTGCCGAAGTCCGATTTGTCCTGCCGTAGCTGAGCTTCGTTGGCGGCGATTCCTTCTCCCTATGCTACGCATTTGACTAGTGGATTAACGCAAACTACTTATCCAAAAAGCCTGCACCGTTGTCCCGCCTGCCTGCGCCGTTCTCGGATTACGACTCCAACTCGCTAGATTCCGGCGACCCAGGCGCAAATCTTGCGCCATCCCATCCGAATCCAATCTGGTCATTTGTAGAGACCATTAGCCTTGTCCAGATCTCTGCTTCTTACGATGGGGATGTTTTTGTATCTAAGCAAGGTTGTCAACCCGCGGGTCGACCCACTTTGACCCTGACCGGTGAGAAAAATGGGCCATATGCACCTGCCGGGTCGACCGCTACAAGGTACCGGGTTGGAGGTCAAATTGTGTCATTTTTTTCTTTGGTTTGCGAAATGTGCCTATTTTCCGATTTTTCTTTTCGCCTAACTCAATTTTTGGAATACTAAGTTGAACATTTGAATATTTATGTTATATAAGTGTGTGTGAATTTTCACTATATGTTGGATCTAAGTACGAAATGTTATTTTGGTGTAATATTATATGTTATAAGTCATATGTTAGATAATATTTAATATAATTTATGAGGATAAGTATAATATAATGACTTTTTCTATATTCCAGGACCAAACCGGGCTAAAACGGTTGACCAATTAACCCTTGACCCACTAGCTCGACCGGGTCCGGATCAACTCGCGGATTGACAACCTTGTATCTAAGAGAGACATGCAGCAAAGGAGGATTATTTTAATAATCTCCCAAATTGCAATCCCACATCAGGTTTCACTGGATCCCAGAAAACATCACAAATTCGATTTTCCCCTTCGATGAATTTTTGTTTTCAAGATAGTAGATAGAAGAGAAGAGGAATCGACAGTTGTTGGAGGAAGGGAGGAAGCTTGCTTGATTCACAGTTGGGGTAAACGAAGAAGAGAGGAAGAAGGAAAGAGAAAGGGACGGAGAGCTTTTTTTTTTTTTTTTTTTTTAAAGGGACGGAGAGCGAAGGGGCATAAAAGGCACGAAAAGGGCCCATCATACGTTATTCTCAAATAACACCCTGCCTCCCAGTTATTTGGGGTCGTTTGGAAGTTGTGATTTCAAATGGTGTATTGATCTAATTTATGTATTTGCAAGATTAAGTCGTTTTTTTGGTTTATATAGAACTAGAATACATGTATTTACTTTTTGGAGCCTCCACCACAATCACTCAATATTGAGGGATTCACAATCTCTACTTTTTGTTGAGATTCTTCACAATCACTCGATACTAACTTTTTTTACCTTTGGAACAAAAACACAATCTAAACCTCCAAACAAGATATTTACCTAATACAACAATTGATTCAATCCATTAAATGATAATACACTAATTGTCCCAATACATCAATTTGAAGAATCACAACTTCCAAACAACCCCTTGGTTTAACGCGTTTTTGCGTTCCAGAATCACTTGTCAGAGAAATGGGATGCCAAACGGGTTATTTTAGCCAAAATAACTCATTGTGAGTTATTCAAAATAACTTAAACAACCCATCCAAACGACCCCTATAGATAGATCATTCTTGAATTGTCAATAGGGTTCTTTCTTATCGTATTTGACAATAGTGTGCATAAATTTCCTCATATGGTCGATATTGCTTTTGGAAGTATGTAAATGAAGCTAGTTTGATAACCATATTCCCATAGAAATTCATTTGAGGAATCAGTTTGCTCAAAACAAACATGCTAAGATTTTTTTTTTACGATGGAGAATCTTTATGCAGTATGAATGATCAGTTACAAAGAAAAATCAAAGGAAACAAGCGTACGAAGCAAAACAACAAGCGATTGAAACACAAGCCGTGCTAGAACGATACAATGTGAAAGAGCAAAGCAGAGAATGTGGACCAACCACCAAAAGATCAAAACACTTGGTCCAAAAACAGAGCATCCAGAATCTCTCTAGTAACCAACTCAAACATAGTGGCAACAAGATCAAACTCAGCCAGTCCGATCACACCGAACTCCATGGCAAGGAAAACAACAATACCATTAGCCGCCTCTTGGGGATAGCTCAAAGACTTCCATCAAAGTGAACCTTGAAGACAAGATTGCATGGCGGTGGATAGGAATGGCAATGGGGCAGGTCCGGGGCGGGTTTCTTGGTACCCAGACTCGCCCCGTGGCAGGTCGGGTCCAGGTCGGAAAATTTATCACGGGTCGCGGGTCGGGACAGGTCGACCCAATGGGTATGCAATTTATATGAAAAACATTAGAAATATTCGTTATTTTTATTATAAGACCCAGAAAACAAACAACATTATGATAAGTTTAGTTAAATTATTGGAGAAATTGAGGTTCTCACTAATTTACAACTTTATTATAGCTAAAATATGATGTAATAAAAGGAAAATCTTAAGTAATTTAACTAACATTACAAGTAATTTAGGCAAGAATGGGTCAAGAATGGGACGGGTCAGGGCAGATCGGGTCGATGAGAGTACCCATGCCCGCCCTGCCCCGCCGAGGAAGGGATGTAAAGCGGATTGTACCGAGCTGAAGAGGCAGGGAGCCGAGGAAGAAAGAACAAGTCCAAGAGAACAGATGGTCTGGCCAGAGCCACCACTCACCGAGGAGAACACCGAAAAGTCCACCGCACCCAACCGAAGAAGACTCCACCTTCACCGATCTAGCGACCTACCGAGCAGCAGATCTACCGTCAGAGGAAGACAAAAAGGGAAAGCAAAGAATGACCAAGATATGAGGAAGGGCCACCAGATTAGGGGAATCCATAAAATGGATTGAGACTCCAAGATCGCAATCTCCAGCTTCCAAGAAGGGAAAGCCCAGAACAGAAACCCTTGAACTGAACCGAAGATCGCAAATCTCAACTTGAAAGGGAAGAAATATGAAGGCTACAACGACAGGAAAAATGGAAAGAACCTGAAAATCCGAGGGAAAAATGCCCTGAACAGTGGCAAAAGAAGGGCGAGCAAGGAACGAAGATTTAAAGAGCAAAGGGAGACAGTTGGGTTGCCGCCGGTCACCAATAGGAGCCGCCGGCAGTCCCTAAAATCGGAACCTAGATCTGAAAGTTAGAGAGAAGGGGAGCGTTATTTTGAAATTAAAGTTAGAGAGATGTGTGGTGCGGTGGCGTGATTCAACATGTTAAGATTATTGAGAATTTTAAAGAGGTTCTCTTCCCTATTCTCGCTGGAAAGCAAGATCAGCCGACTTATATTCCCTGTCGTGTGCGAAAAAACCGCTCTGAAAGAGTTTGTCAAGGCACGGGCATGAACATCCCTCTGGTCGTCACGAACCCGCCGCCGCCAAATTCACAATCTTCATCAATCCTCCGCCGGCGGGATACTTCCCCCCAAAGAGTGACAGAGAATTGATTTGATGGGCGAATTAAACCGATTGTCGATCTACATGCACGCCGCTTCCAAGGCTTACTCTATGGGTTCTATCTCTCTCTTCCCTGTTTTAAAAAGAAGTTTTCCTCTTAGTTTTACTTAGAATGTCCTTACTATTTTTACAATAGCTCAGATTTCAGTTTCATGTTCGCCTCACCCTTTCTTTTCATTTTGATTTTTTTCGATGGTTTGGTTCCCTACTTTAACTCTAATTGTTGTTTTTGCTTCAATTTAGTCTTTTAGGGGTCTCTTTTAAGCTTTGCAATATTAAGATTCACCTAAGTTTTTTATGGTTAACCTTCCTTCACTTCTACTTGTTATTGCACTTTGCATTTATTTTGGAGGTCTTCTTGTTTTTTATTCCTCTATTTGCTCTTTGGATTTTGTTGAGTTTATTTTGTTTTTCTGGTTTCCTGTGTTGGGTTTGATTGATGCAGGTTGAAATAGGAGCTCCATTAATCCTCATCCCTGATTTCCGTCGCTGGAGGCGCTGCTGCCCACTGTCGTCGTCAGCCTTCACCGCTTGCTGAGGGACGCGTGGCGTAGTCTTATCTCTAAAAAACGGCGAAGCCAATTATCGAGGCATAAAGTGGAAGCGGTGGCTTCTGTCACTTGTTGATCCTATCATTATCCGACAAGGTTGTCAACCCGCGAGTTGATCCGGACCCGGTCGAGCTAGTGGGTCAAGGGTTAATTGGTCAACCGTTTTAGCCCGTTTGGTCCAGAAATATAGAAAAAGTCATTATATTGTACTTATCCTCATAAATTATATTAAATCTTATCTAACATATGACTTATAACATATAATATTACACCAAAATAACATATCGTACTTAGATCCAACATATAGTGAAAATTCACACACACTTATATAACATAAATATTCAAATGTTCAACTTAGAATTCCAAAAATTGAGTTAGGCGAAAAGAAAAATCGGAAAATAGGCACATTTCGCAAACCAAAGAAAAAAATGACACAATTTGACCTCCAACCCGGTACCTTGTAGCGGTCGACCCGGCGGGTGCATATGGCCCATTTTTCTCACCGGGTCAGGGTCAAAGTGGGTCGACCCGCGGGTTGACCCGCGGGTTGACAACCTTGTTATCCGAAGAAAAGTGGGGGTGGTGGTTTTTGTATGTTTTGAAGTTTTGGCAGTGATCGGAAAAGCAAAGTGCCCCTCGGTCAATTTTATGGACTTTGGGCAGGCAGGGGTCTAGATTTGTTTTGTTTTGCAGGATTGGCTTTTGGCTTTGACGCACACCAGGTGGATGGATTATTTCGGTGTGGCGCTGAAGTATTTCATTCATGAAGATGTTGCTTCAGCTGGTATCCTTTTATGTGATTTCCTTGGGTTTTTCTATTTTATGGGTCTTAGTATGAGCTTTGTCTCTATTTTGTTTTTACAGGAGAAAGTGGTTTCGGCTTTTGACGACCTGATGAACTGTTCTCACTCACTGTTCTCACTCGCTGCATTCACTTTAACGTGCTATAAAATAAGAGATGGAGAACAAAACAAGAACTAAATTCTTCTCGTAGAATACTTGTCAATAAGCAAATGTATCTTTTCACCGGAAGTGAAAGATGAAATGATTATAAATGAGGATGACACAACAATTCATGTAGCAAAAGTCATGATCATATACCGTAACCTTCGTATGGCTAAATGTGTTACGAAACATATATATGTTGATGTTATTATTATTATTATTATTATTATTATTATTATTATTACTACTACTTTGTATGCTTTGGTGCTTAATAGATTAATCATCGTTGAAAAATAGGAACAATAGACTTCATAATCGGTGGAGAAAAACATCGGCCGAATCCGTATTCTTTAGCCTTCAAATCGAAAGATAATGACATTTTGAAAAAAGCATCCGAAATTAGTGATGGTACCTGCATCATTGTATGGAATCTGCCAAAAATGGATGCAAAAGAAATCTGACCAAACTGGTGCTTAATTGAGTTAACAATCGGCGCAGAATAGCCTCAGAATGAATCTGTGATACGTAACCTTCAAAATCAAAGGAAAATGGTCTAAAAAAAATCGCCAAAAAATTACAAAAATACATCTGAAATAAATTCGGCCAAATCAGTGCTTAATGTACTTAATCGTAAGTGGAGAATAGGATCAATAGACTTCATCATAGGTGGAGAATAACCTCGTATTGAATCCGTGATCTGTAGCATTCAAAATCGAAAGAAAATGACATTTCTAAAAAAGCGACCAAAAAATTACGAAAATGGCATCCAAAAATAAATCCACCCAAATTGGTGCTTAATTGACCTAATCATCGGTGTAGAATATGATCAATAGACTTCATCATCGATGGTGAATATACTCGGGCTGAATCCTTATTCTGTAGCTTTCAAAATGAAAAGAAAATGACATTTCGGAAAAATCGCTCGAAATTTGTGATGGTACCCTGTGGAATCTGCCAAAAATGGACCCTTAAGAAATCCACATAAATCGGTCCTTAATAGACTTATCAACAGTGAAGAATAGTCTCAGGCTGAATTCGTGATCTGTAGCCTTCAAAATCCACGGAAATGGCATTCAAAATAAATCTCCCACAAAATTATGAAAATTATATCCGAAAATAAATTCGCCTAAGCTAATCTTTAATGGACTAAATCATCGGTGGAGAATAATATCAATAGACTTCATCATTGGTAGAGAATAGCTTTGGACTGAATTCGTGATCTGCAACCTTCAAAATCGAAAAAAATGACATTTTCGGGAAAATCACCTAAATTCTATGATAGGATCAATAGACTTCATCATTGGTAGAGAATAGCTTTGGGCGGAATTAGTGATCTGCAACCTTCAAAATCGAAAGAAAATGACATTTCGGGAAAATCACCTGAATTCTATGATAGGATCAAATATCAATAGACTTCATCATTGGTAGATAATAGCTTTGGGACGAATTAGTGATATGCAACCTTCAAAATCGAAAGAAAATGACATTTCGGGAAAATCACCTGAATTCTATGATAGGATCAATAGACTTCATCATTCGTAGAGAATAGCTTTGGGCCGAATTCGTGATCTGCAACCTTCAAAATCGAAAGAAAATGACATTTTTGAAAAATCACCTGAAATCTATGATGGTATCCTTATGGGATCTGCCAAAAAATGGGCGTGAAAGAAATCTGCCCAAATCGGTGCCTAATGGACTTAATCATTGGTGGAGAATATGATCAATTGACTTCATTATCGGTGGAGAATAACCTAGTGTTAAATCCGCGATCTGTAATCTTCAAAATTGAAAGAAAATGATATTTTAGGGAAAAAACACAAAATATGTGAGTGTACCCTTTGGAGTTGCCAAAAAAAGGACCCGGAAGAAATCTGCCAAAATCGGTGCTTAATGGACTTAATCTTCGTTGAAGAATAGAATCAGGCCGACTCCGTGATATTTAGCCTTCAAAATCCAAGGAAAATGACCTTTCGAAAAAAATCGCCCGTAAATAACGAAAATGGCATAAGAAAATCAATTCTCCCAAATCGGTGTCTAATGGACTTAATCATTGGTGGCGAATAGGATCAATAGATTTTATTTCTAGTGGAGAATAGCCTCAGGCCGAATCCGTGATTTGTAGCCTTCAAAAATCGAAAGAAAATGACATTTTGAGAAAATTGCCCGAAATCTGTGATGGGTGATACCCCTTTGGAGTCGGGCTAAGATAAGGTGTTTAACGTGAGTTCCCTTAGTCACATGACTTAGTGAATCTCAGTCCTTCAAGCTCATTTAAATATGATGGTTGATATTAATCTACTTTAATGAAGGGTAATGTAGTAACTATAGGATTATATAATTATATTAAATAAAATAAAAATTGACTGGACCTCTTCCTTCCGCACGCACCAGAGAAAGAAATACACGACTGTCAATTATCGGCGAGATCCACTTTTTCGGCGGTGGGGAGTTATCCTTTTAAAGCTCCAGAGAGAGAGAGAGAGACCGCCGGCGGTCACATTTTATGGAGAATGAGACCCCTGTTGGCGGTCACTTTTTATTTTATGGGGGATTTTCTCTCCAAGTGCAACTACCAGAGGGGGAGGGAGTAGGGCTGGAAGTTGGTACCAGCATTTGGGATATACCGAATATCGTACCAAATTTGTATATATTTGGTATTACCGAATACACATATTATTTCTTGGGATTCGTATTGAATTTCAATTGTTATTCGGTATTAGGGATTACGGGGTTGGGATCGGTATATACCGAAATACCGATATATAAGCTAGTGTGTATTTTATCCTATCAACTAGACTCTCTCATTCACTACTGCATGACCATCGACCACCAAGACTGTAATTTAATTATACATAGATCATTCCATAACTATTAATAGTCGTCTCTCAACCTCCAATTCGTCAAATTAAAGATTACAAATGACAAGAACTTGAGATGTCTCAACCTCCATCCTCCAACAACTTTGGATTTCCGGCGTCGACGATGGCAAAGACGGATTTTTCGACGGCAGTGTTGGATTCGTGGTGTTGGTAGACCTATTTTGTAATGTTTATGTCAATTCGGTTTGTATCGTTTATGTAACACCCTGGTATTTTAGATTTGGGTTCGACCATATTTAATGAGCGGTTAGATTAACGGTTACGTACTAAGAGTTACAACCGCGGATTAAGAATAATAATATTATTATTATAACATTATTTGAAAAAAAGTATATATACATAATTAGTGGGCGGCCAGAGGCAGCCGCCCTTCCTCCACAATACTGCAGCCGACCCTCTCAAAAATTCCCTTCCCCAAATAAACCCCTCCCCCCCTAATTAATCAGCCGCCGTAAAAAAACCAAATCACACGCCGCCAAGCAGCAGCGCTGTGAACGAGAAGGCAAAGAAGGAGCGTGCCGCCTCCTCCCTGTTCCCGACCCCATCCCTTTCGTTTTAGGTAAGGATCATGAACCCCTCGCGATTTCTAAACTCGATTAATCGATAGTCTAATCCGAAGTTCGTATTTTCTTAGGGGTGACGTTTGAGGGTTCGATCAACGAGGTGATCAACGTCCCGGGTCATCCAATCTAGTACTTTGCACATTCTAGAGGTAAGAGAACTCGATCCCTTTGAGCTAGGTCGATTGATTTGGTGATTTTTCGTGAGGGTCGTAATATGGGTTTTTAGCAACAGGCTTTACATGATTTTAGTGACAGATTTTGATTGGTCACTAAAGCTGTTGGGAATTTCCAGAAACGTATTTTTAGATGATTTAAATTGTTTCGAGCCTCTCTGAAGGTTGTTTTCTGAATTTAACAATTTTATAAATTGAGCGACGTCTAGGAGATGATTGTAATTTAATTTGTGGATTTTTGAAAATGTATTTCTATTTTTAGAAATTGTTCTAATATTCATTTTAATTAAATAAAAATCTTTCCGGGGGGTTTAAGGATTTGATAATTTTCCAGGGTATAGGTGCTCATGATTGACATGGGAAAATTATTGTCCAAAATTATAAGAAGGTTCGAGTTAGGTGAAAAATTCATCCAAGATAGAAATATTTAAGGAAAAAAATGGTCGTTTTGAAGGGATTAATTCTAGAAATTTTTAATGGGGGTTAAAGGAATTTTGGAGTGAGGTTTGAGGAGGGGACTTTGAGTAGAGGGTGTCTGGGTAGATAAAAAGGAGGCTTTTAAATCGAGAAAGGGTGTCTTAGAATATGAATTTTCTTATTAATAGGTTTCCTGGGATAATCCGGTTAAGGAGGGAAAGAAGGCGAGAAAGTTAGCAGCCGATTGAACTTTGTAGTCTCGCGTGATGAAGAGGTTCACACCGATTAGTAGGAGGGGAAGAGCCGCGTCTATTAGAGGCGGAAGGAAGGCCGAGAACTTGACATCGGTGATCACAACTGGCGGGGTAAAGTGATGGAGAGGCCCCGACCCGGGGTGTCGGGAGTTCAAAGTTGGCCGCCGAATTGTGGCCCGAGGAGGGACCTTGAATCAAATGGCGGCAGAGTTCCAATGGTTAGGGTCGTTGAAGAGGAAGACGATGAACCGATAGAGGATGAGCCAAAAGAGGAAAAAACGCGCGGGGCTTGAGCGAGAGAATGCAGACGTTGATGCGACTAAGGAGGTGAGTGTAAAGGGGGTAAAATCTCTGTCGTAGGTCTTTTAGTTTCCGCTTTTCGTTCAAGTTATTATTTAGTTTATTTATGATTTTGGGCGATATGTGTGTGAGGCACCCCACCGCCTGTAAGGGTGGAGGCACGCGTTGTGCTATGTATGAATGTATGTGATGTTGTATGGATTGATGGTAAGAGGAACCCCTGGGCGATTGGGCCATTACTAGACGCGGTAGATGGTCGAGTCACTGCTGGACGGCGAGACGTAACGCAGCAGTTGATCAAGAATGTTGGGTCACTACTGGATGGCGAGACGTAATGCAGTAGTTGACGGGCATGGACTGGACGGCGAGACGTAACGCATTGCCATTGCCGAGTTTGGGTATACAACCGGACGGCGAGACGTAACGCGGTTGGCATACTAGGGTAGGGACACCAGACAGCGAGACGTAACGCGGTGGTCCCTTGTGTTGGTGTAAGAGTATAAGTAAGAAAAATTCTAAAGATAAGATAGTAGTAAAGATCTCTTATAGACTGTTTGATATAAAGTTTAAGGGATGAAAGCGAGAACGACTTTCGTCTAAGGAAGACTTTCCCCTAATAATGTGTTTAGTAAGGAGTTTGCATAGGGCAAAGACATTAGGAATTGACGACGAGACTGGCCCCTTCTCACTCACCAGGTTGAGGATAGTCTAGCAGAAGTGAATCACGAGAAGAAGCAGGGCGAGGAGAGCAGCAGTACCAGCGTCGACGGGATATCGGAAAGCTCGTGAGGAGTCAAGTTAGATTAGTTAACTTTTCTGTGAAACACCCTAACCCGGCCGGGTACTACTTTTACTAAAATCCCCTTGATAAATAAAGTACTCAAATCTTAAATTTCAACTCGGGAAAATTTTCAAAAATAAAATAAAATACTGAAAACACACACTTGTAGTTCAAAGCAAAGCCCTAACATGTGTGCAATTAAACTCAAACTTTAAAAACTCAACTTGATCTCCAGTCTATACTCATAATCATTAAACGTAATAATTAACTAGTCTCAGGTGTTGCTGCTTGTGTGAGAAACTCCGACTAGACATCCTCTGTGACGCTCGTACCGTCCTTCTCTAGATAGCTTCACTCGAACTGTTTCTCTCGATCCCACTACTCTCTAATTGCTCCTCTAGCTTCTTCCTCTTCAAACTGGTGAGTGAGTTGGGGTCAGTCTACGCCCTTACGTTTTAAAATCTAGTACATGAGTATTTTACTTTAGATACTTAACTTAAACTGGTGGAAGTCGTTTTGTACTTCCAATCTTAAAACCTTAACTCTTAAACTTTGAGGGAGTTGAAGTTACTCTCCTCTCTTAAAGCTCAAATCTTGACTTAAATACTTGACTGACACGGGGATCCCTCACTAGCTAGTCCGATTGCCAACTCATACGTATGAAAAGCCATCAAGGCTTTCCTTAAACTTAAACTTAGTTAGGGAAGTCGTAACGATTCATCCCCCTAACACCTTAAACTTATCGTGGTGGCTCTTCACCACGATTCTCAACAGCATAACTGCTGCTCATCTTAAAAGTCTCAAGAGCATAACTGCTGCTCTGTCTCAAAGATCTCAAGAGCATAACTGCTACTATATCTGAAAATCTCAAATGGCAACGGACTTGCGCTAGTGACTAAAAACACTTAAAACGACTTCACCTTCTTGAAGGTGAGTTACTTCTTAAAAAGAACTTTCTTCTTAACTTTAACACTAACTTATAAACTTAAAGCTTAAATTTAAATAAGAACTCATGCACATTCACATCAAGCATAGCTCAAACAAAGTCACATATCATCAACCATAAGCACAATCAAACAACGACATTCATTTCATAAAAAAATGCTCAAGACTTGTAATTCTTGAAAGAACACGTAAGGCGTAGAATTTACCCCCTTTACACTCACCTTATATCCGTCGAAACCAACTCTGAATCTGCTCTAAAATTTCCATACTTGCTCCAATCAAATTCTCCTCGTTATCACGATTCCATAGGCGCTGACGATTCCTCGTTCGGACGTCAATCGATCGAGTTATGACCAAAATAAACATTCTGTCAGTTTAAAAGTACTAAGTACCAAAACTGTAATTTCCGAGTCAACACAGTTGACCTCGACCTCTCTGGAAAAATTACGCATTTAATCCTCTAACTTCTTGAATTGCCAAGACTGATACCTGAACTGTCTGATTTGCGTCCAAAACTTTCGACGCTCGTATCTCCCTCGTCCGATGTCGAAACTCAATTCCGTCAAGACCGTGATGCTCCTGGGATCGTCCTCTTTGCGATGATAACCAACACTCAAAGAAAATTGGAATTCGCCTACGTCAGGATCGTTGTCGGAATTGCTTGAGCTGAGGAATTCGATGTACTCGGTCTAAAATCCAATGAACTGCAAGCTCTCTTGTCCGCTGGCAATTCATCGATCACTTCTGATGGCTTTTGCCCACGATTGGCCATTCTCCCCAGGATCCTAAATAATTTACTGATGAGTTTTTCTTCGAGTTGCTTAAAATTGGTCTTCGAAGATGGGAAGGAGGAAATTGGAGCGCCGTCTTTGTGAACATAAATATCGAGCACCTCAGCCACACTCTCGATTCCCCTGACCTTCTTCGCGTTCCTACTGAACAGAGTCGTGATTGCCAGCTCCTCACCTTCCTTTCTCCTCGCTTCTCTCAATGCAATTGGCAGCACCTGGTAAACGGAGTCCTTAACCAGAGACTTAACCGCTGAATCCCACGCCGATGACTCAATGAACGACGACGGAAAGGAAGTTTCTGATTTCTCGGGCTTGAAGAGCAGTCGCGGGCTTCTAGAGAGGAGAATTCGGGCAGAGTTTGACAGCCGTCGTAAGTGCCTCTCCCCGAATAAGATACACGCGCCGTCGCTGTGAGTCCGAGTCGTCGTGTACGCGCCTGGGTGAGATTGAAGTAACGTGGCCACCGCAGGGACGTCGCGCGATGAGGAAATGACATCGTTGCTGAAAAGAAACTTGCAGTCTGTCATCTCTACTGCTTCCCCGTCCGAAGATTAGCTCCGATTTCAATTTTCTTCCAACCGCACTATTTTGCTAGGGTTTTAGGCGTTGAACAACCGTGGAGAAAGCTTTGCTGCGATTTCTCGAGAGCCTTTCGGTGGAGAAAAGGGCTGCGAGGGTTTTATTTTGTTTGGGTGTTGCCGAGTAGGGTAAGGCTCTAGGGTTTTAATTAGTCCAAGGGTATTTGTGAAAATTCACACTTGCGGGTGAGTTTAATCCGGAACTCAATTAATGTCCGTAACTTTCTCAATTTATGTCAAAATTTGACACCGCTTGAACCGATAGTTCACATTTTTAATCCTCATCGATAATACGGTGGAACTTGACCCAAGGGTATAATAGTCATTTTGAATTTTGGGAAGAGCGGGGTGTAACATTTCCTCCACCCTTATAAAAATTTCGTCCCCGAAATTGATCGGGCTCATCCTTTCACACTCCTCATTCTCGTGCTTCTTTGGCTCAAGATTTCACTCTTTCTATATGAGCTTCAATGGCGTGCCCTTACCTTGTCTTAAATAGCTTACTGACTCACTTCTACCGTCACTCCAGGAATTGGCCAAGTGAAACCACTTCCTAAAGCGTAGTATAGCGGGTTTGGGTTTAATTATCAACCCGGGTCCTAGATCTGATGACTACTCAGTGAATTCTTGTTATCTAGCAATGAAACTTTAATGCAGGTTTAAACTATCAAACTAACAAAGCAAGTAAACGGTTGTATTCAGGTTAAGAGAGGTCACCCGGATATGGTTCCCCCTAGACTGTAGTTAAGCCGGATTGTAATTACCAAGTTCAGTTTCCATGAAAGTTATACTGCGGAAGGTTCTTAAACAGCCTGAAGTCTCGACTAAAGGTCTTCAGACCCTCTCAATCTGAGTCTCTAGCGGGCGACTAACCTCAACTGGAGTAAACAGATTGAGGCCTTAACAAACAAAACCTCCGCTACCAGAGTAAATCCGGTACAGAATAGTGAGTTGGTTCCTCGACTAAAGTCACCAACTCCCTACCTTCAATTAAGGATGCTCTATTAACCTAGGCAGATATTCTCATTCTAGGTTAAAGCAGAAACAACAGGAATTTGATCAGGATTAAAGTCATTCAATCATTCAAACCTCAATCGAATATAATCAAATCATAGAATCAGTACTTGGGTTCATACAATCAAACCTAACATACAAATCTAGGGTTCTCCATACCCAGATGAATGGGAGAACTACTCCATGGAGAAAGAAGCAAAAGCAGAATCAGACGCGGAATTCATACTGTGAAGGATGGATTCATGCTTCTGGACGTTGATCGGCACTTCTCCAAGCTCAAGCTGGCCTCCAATGGTGTTGAAGATCAATCTAGGGCACTTGGAGACTCTTGTTCGTCGCTTTCTCTCTCTAGGAATCGTTCTCTCTCTCAAAAACTCGAATCCCCTCGACTTGTGGCTGAAAATCTGCTTAAAAGCAGAAAATCCCGACTCACACGGCCAGGGTGGCACGGCCGTGTGGCTTACCCAGTTGCCCGTGCGAGTCAAAACGCTGCGTATCAATTAGTTGAATTCCAGGCTTCTTGCACGGCCAGGGTCACACGGCCGTGTGAACTTTCCATCCTGCCCGTGTTTGCTCTCGCAGAATTCCACACGGCCAAACTGCATCCTCACACGGCCGTGTGGATTCTCTGCTCTGCCCGTGTTTGCTCTCGCACAATCCCACACGGCCAAACTGGTCACTTGCACGGCCGTGTGGGTGTGCCCGTGCGACCTCCTTTGTGACTCGTCTCGCGCCCGATCTTCGCCCAATCGACCCCGAACTCGCTCCTAAACCTTCATTCACTTGCCAGGACCTGAAATATCACAAACAAGCACAACCTAGCGTGAAATCGGTCTAAAACACGAGAAACCACATCTCAAACGGTGTAAGAACAGGGGTGAAAACATGTGTAATTAACGGTCTATCACTTACTATAGTTCTTATATGTACTCTTGACCATAACATATATTCTCATCTAGCTTGGTAGTATCGAATAGGTTTGAGTGATTCATTGCCCTTTTCAAAATTTTCCAACTTGGGCCCAGGGTGTGATGAGACAAAATTTTGGCTCAATTTATTTGGTCCAACTAATTCAGTACTTGATGTTGAACCTATCGAAGTCGAGGTATCACATTTCTTCCCCACTTTTAGAAATTTTGCCCTCGAAATTTGTCCACTGTGATTACCCTAAGCATAGTTTGTGGTAATCCTTTGCACTTCGCGGATTTTTATTTCCTTTAACTTATACAACGTGACCTAAAATCCTTCTCTCCATTCCCTGCAACTTCAGTGTTGTTGTGGCTTCTTAACCCCTCACATTACCTCGGCTGCACCCTGTACATATATAGGAACGATAACTATCCATTGTTTGGTATACAGGACGTTAATGCTCCTCTTGAACCCCAGGGTTACATATGGCGGCTTATCCTTTATCCCATCAGATGGTAAAATTCCTTTAACGTAACTCTCGTCCGGAGTTGACCTCATAGGTCACCTAGGTCCTTGTATCTCCTAACTCTGCATCTCTTACTTTCTTCCTCAATGCCTCGTCTTATCCCTTAACCATAAACTGAATGGTCACCGCCTCGTTACTTGCTGCTTAGTGTTGGAACCTCATACTACTGTTTCTACTTCCTGTATGCATTAGAGGCATCCTTTGCGTCTTTCTCTAGCTTGCGATCAACTTTATGAATCCCTTCCAGAATAATGACCTTCCATTTTGCGTACTTACTCACTCCTGGCACCTAACTTAACACTTCCTTATCATCGTTTGACTTGGGAGTTCTCGTACGATCTCTTCTATTGTTTTTTTGACCTTGCCTGAAATTCCTCGTACAGTTTCCCCGTCCAAGAAATTTTCACCCGAGAGATCACCACATTTCACCCTCATAGGTGGTATTGCTTTCACTTTAGGGTATCCTAGCAGGTTCGCTAAACTCATATCCATGTTACCTCTTTACTCGTGACTCCTCTTACCGATGTTTCTCGCTAGTTCTATATGTCTCTCGTCCTCGATGTAGTCATCTTGGTGCCCATATTCTCTTCTCATTTATGTACCTTGACCGATAAGGTTTTCCCTTCGACCGTTCTGGACCACCACACTTCTACTTTAAAGTTGACCATTGAGCTTCTCAGTTCTTGACGGGCTTCCTATGGCCCAACTTATTCTCCACCGGCAATCACCTTAACGCCTCCTTGTTGACCTTCGTATTCTTTCGCCGGCTCTTCCTAACTATCTTTCTCCCTGAATTTGTCGTTTTATAAACTACCACCCTTTTTCACCATAGCTTTCATTATAGCTTGTGGTTTCCTCCTTACTTCCACAACTCTTTCATCGATGCTTGGTACTAGCCTTGATCTACTCAGTTTAGTAGCTCCTCGCCATACCTCAGAGCCAACATTTCCACTAGAAACATTCTCTAGGTAGACTTGACAGACGACACCCACGACTTCTACTCATGATGGTGCTTGACCACGTCCCCACTATCTTCTTTCACGCATTCATTGTCTGGTCGACAACCACTTTTTTTTCTTTATTTTACTTCCTATAGCGTCCTATGGTGCATTCTTCTACGGTTCACGATTAACGTGCCATTGAAATCGTTCCAATCCACATAGCATTGTAGCGGTTAGGGGGAAGTGATTAACGTGGCCAATTCATGATTAACGTGCCCAAGGAAATCGTTCCAATTTCCAGTTTGCAAGTATGTGTGTTCTTTGCTTGTGCTAGACTTGGTGTTTTCCGATTGTGTGTAGGTGGTGCATGACCCGGAGCAACCCGATACCCTTGCTACCTGACTCGCTATGACACAACACCTAACAATGGCCAAGTGTAACCAATGGAAGGGACTGCAGTATAGTGGCTCAAGTGATAAATATCGAATCCACGGGTCTCTAGAGTTACTATTACTCAGCTTCATTTTATTATTTAGCAAACCAGATTAAGATGAAAGAACTAAAACTACTCTAGAAAACTACAGTTAAAGTTAATCTAATTACAGGTTGGGAACTCACTTAGTTATGATTCCCCCTTGCCACTTGATGATTTCTAACTTGTTGCACTTTCATTCACAATGCGGAGAATCCTTGACTAGACCTTGAGTCTCGACTAAAGGAACAAGGCCCTCTTGAGTCAATTGCCTAGAGGGACGTATCCTTCTCTAGAACAACTGATCAAGGCGTTTTGAACTAGACTCCCTCTATCGAAAGAGGTTCTCAATCGATACAAAGCAGTGAATCAACCCTTGACTAAAGCAATCGATCCACTACTATCAATCTATGGTGCTCTATTGACCTAATCAGGTATTCCCTCTCATAGGATCAAAGCAGAATCAATAATATCGACTAAAGAAGAATTGAATCATGAAAACATGCATAGATTGAATATGAACTCAAGATTATCAAGTCAGAATACTCATACAATCATCCAATCAAACAAACATAGCTAGGGTTCCTCAAAACCTAAGTGAAGGGAAGTTACTCCATAGAGAAGAGAGAGACTGCAGTAAGAATCTTCAGATGATCAGTCTTCAAGTCCGGGCTTGTTCCTCGAGCTTCCAAGGCTAAGAAATCCTCCAATTCCACTCTTAGAATGCCCTCAGATTGCCCTTTCTCTCTTTGGTTCGTCCCTTGGGTGTTTGGGATCCAAAACCCAGCTCTCCCCCTCCTTTGGCTCGAATTTGGGCTAAAAAACCCGATTCTGGGCAAAACACGGTCGAGGGCACGACCGTGCTTTGGTTTTGCCCGCCCGTGCTTTGCCTCGTGTTAAAAACACGCCCGCGCGCGTCGGCGAAAACACGGTCGTGCCTAAATATGGGCACGGCCGTGTTTTGATTTAGGCGCGCCCGTGTTTTTACTGCCGAACCTGTTCCCCTATATTCAATGCTTCGTTTCTCCCTCGTCCGGACTCCGAATCAGTCGCTGTTTGATCCCAGACGCTCGTAGTCTCGTCCTCTTTCTTTTAATGACAAGCTTGCATGATTATTTGTCCATAAAGTGAGTTAGAAATCTATTTTTCTTCAGGTCATGCCCGAGTTTCTTCTCCCTAATCGCCAATTGATCTCTGATTGACTTGAAACTTGCGCCTATGCTTCACTTTATGTGTTAGGACCTGAAATGTGATAAAGGAACACAAACTAGCGTAAAATAGGCCAAGGAAGCGATAATGAAAGCTTAAACAATCAAGAAACAAAGGGGAAAACATGTGCAAATATCGAGTCATCAAATCCCCCCACACTTAACCGTTTGCTTGTCCCCAAGCAAATCTGACTCAAGCCAATGCAACTCCCCAGACCTCTATATCAACATACAACCTCGATCGTTGGTAGAGGATTTCCTAGATCATATAGCAGCTTACGAGGTCAACTGGTCTTCTAAGACGTTCCCTATCTCTCTCAATGCGCGTACTAGACTCAAGCCAGGATCATGAGAAGAAGTAGAAGTAAGACAGTCAGTTCATGGATAAAGGGACTCACACCATTCACAACCAAGGACTCGTTGTACCGGGGTTCTCTTTCACTTCATTTCACCTTTGGAACCCCTTTTTCACTTTCATTTTTCTTTTTTTTTCTTTTTCATTCACTTGGCGGGGGTTCCAACTGCAGTCTTTTGCACGGTCGACCCTTATTAGTCGAGCAAGAGAAATTTTTGTACATCTGGCGCTCGCCAGAGTACTTCTTTTAACTCCTTTTCCTCAACTCGTGTGGAGGGTCAATGAAATTAAGGGGGGTTGGAAGCTCTATCCGTGCCCTTAAAAACACATCCTCAAGTAGGCAAACCGTTCAACGGGTGGAAGTTTTACTTGTACTAGAGACAGCTTAGCTTCACCTTGTAGGAGTACCCCACTAAGGATCACTAAAATCTCTTCCAAAACCCGATTTGGTGCAATGAACGGTGCCGCACACGTTGGGCTTACCCCATGTTTAAGATTTTATGATTTTGACATGGAGGACCAACTGCATTTCATTTTTCACATGAGCACCCTGTTCGATACACGAGTCCATAACACAATCCAATCAGAGTCACCATTACCACATGAATTCAATGGTCTTAGCTCCACTAATTAACAAAATCAACTGGCACAGCAGAGAGCTAGATAGGAAAAATCTTATACTTCAACATCCTCCATAGTGCTACACTACCTCCCTAGGTTGCACATTACTATAGAGACTGTCAATTCAAAGCATACTGAGCAGGCAAGTTGCAAGGAAACAAGTACTTGGAGCCCTCAAATTTAAAAATTTGGACAGTGGACTAGGCTCCAAGCACACAAACAGCCAAACATTCACCCGCATACATAATCGAACATCCCCCCACACTTAAGCACGACATTGTCCTCAATGGAGGAAAGATAAGGAGGGTAGAACGAAGTTACCAGATTCAGGGTGAATGATGGTGGACGGGGCAGGCGGTGTATTCCAGGAGGAGAGAGCGGTCAGACCACAAACACCACACAAAATCTCACATAGGTTGAGTTATTGACTCTAAAATCAAATAACAAAGCTGACTCAACCAAGGAGAAAAAGAGAAACAAATGCAAACCGACTGGTTGGGTTGCCTCCCAACAAGCGCTTCTTTCACGTCGTGAGCCGGACGATGGCTCCTAAGTTTCGGTCCACCCCAAAACCTCCTTGAAGTTGAGGTACTCGTCGATAAGGTGGAGTCTCAAGTCACGAGCATGTGGTGTGGCAGGTGATGAAGGCTCATGCACTTGATGCAGATGAAGTCTCCACCCTCGAGACCTCTTCTTCTCTCCTCTCGTCTCATTGCCCCAAACTAGATATGACAACATCGATTTACCACCATCACATCCACCAAGAGGGACCGATGTCGATGTGGCCTTGGTCTGGCAAAGAGACACTGCAAATGGGTCCTTGCCAAACACCTCCTCGAAATTCGGTGGAGATATCACAAATAACTCATAGCCGGTGCAAGCCTCTTCCACCTCAACTTCGTCCTCAGCTTGGACGCCAATTGCTTCTGCAACCTCCCTTTCTTCTTCTTCAACCTCCCTTTCTTCTTTATGTGGTACCACCCCTGGGAAATGATCAAGAACTTCTCCTGCTTCACTTTCATCATCCTCCACAACTTCTTTCTGCACCCTTTCTTGCTCTTCTTCTTCTAGCACGGATTGGAGAGCAAGCTGCCAAGCAATTTCTTTCATGAGATCTTCTTGCATCTCCTCACTCATGCCCGCCTCTTCAAAGCTCAGTTTGGGATGTGGGAAGGTGTGGTCGGCTATGACAGGACATTCCTGATCATGATCATCACGGGAGCTCTCCGTGACATCTTTAGTGTGCTCCACAATGTCCTTGTAGCCTTCTTCTTCCTCCTCCTCTTCTAGTATGGTAGCAGAAGGGTGATCTGGAGCAGGTTGTGCCCAAGATCGCTCAAGATCATCGACGCTCTTCTTAAGGCTCATGAGGATCTCCTCTGTTTCACGATAGGCCTGAACACAATGATCCATCCTGGAGCATGTTCTCTCACAATCTCGAGCAAACTGTTCCATGAGAAGCCTCAATTCATAGTTCGGATCTGGCTGTGGAGTGTAGCATGGCTCTGCAGAATGGCCCGTGAAGGCCGCCATGGGTAACTCCAGCGCCGATGGCCCTTCTGGTTGTGGGAGAAATTCTTCTTGGTAATGAGGTTGTTCTTGATATGCCCAGGGGTCTGGTTGTTCTTCGTAGTAAGGGGGTTGGTACTGGAACCCGAATCCATAGTCTTCTCCTCCTTGATTGCTCCAGGGAGTCTCGGGGTAATACCACTCGGGTGGTGGTGGATACCCCCAATTGTTGGAGAATCCATGAGGATCCATGATTCAGATCTGCACCAACAAAAACAAAAACACCCAAGTGAAAAACAAGGGTGGAAAAGAAAAGAAAAATGCTAAAGTAACAAACTTCTGCCTTTCCTAATACTCTAGAAAGTCCCCGGCAACGGTGCCAAAAACTTGACTCGCTATGACACAACACCTAACAATGGCCAAGTGTAACCAATGGAAGGAACTGCAGTATAGTGGCTCAAGTGATAAATATCGAATCCACGGGTCTCTAGAGTTACTATTACTCAGCTTCAGTTTATTATTTAGCAAACCAGATTAAGATGAAAGAACTAAAACTACTCTTGCAAACTACAGTTAAAGTTAATCTAATTACAGGTTGGGAACTCACTTAGTTATGATTCCCCCTAGCCACTAGTCAGACTAACGATTGATGATTTCTAACTTGTTTCACTTTCATTCACAATGCGGAGAATCCTTGACTAGACCTTGAGTCTCGACTAAAGGAACAAGGCCCTCTTGAGTCAATTGCCTAGAGGGACGTATCCTTCTCTCGAACAACTGATCAAGGCGTTTTGAACTAGACTCCCTCTATCGAAAGAGGTTCTCAATCGATACAAAGCAGTGAATCAACCCTCAACTAAAGCAATCGATCCACTACTATCAATCTATGGTGCTCTATTGACCTAATCAGGTATTCCCTCTCATAGGATCAAAGCAGAATCAATAATCTCGACTAAAGCAGAATTGAATCATGAAAACATGCATAGATTGAATATGAACTCAAGATTATCAAGTCAGAATACTCATACAATCATCCAATCAAACAAAAATAGCTAGGGTTCCTCAAAACCTAAGTGAAGGGAAGTTACTCCATAGAGAAGAGAGAGACTGCAGTAAGAATCTTCAGATGATCAGTCTTCAAGTCCGGGCTTGTTCCTCGAGCTTCCAAGGCAAAGAAATCCTCAAATTCCACTCTTAGAATGCCCTCAGATCGCCCTTTCTCTCTTTGGTTCGTCCCTTGGGTGTTTGGGATCCAAAACCCAGCTCTCCCCCTCCTTTGGCTCGAATTTGGGCTAAAAAACCCGATTCTGGGCAAAACACGGTCGAGGGCACGGCCGTGCTTTGGTTTTGCCCGTCCGTGCTTTGCCCCGTGTTAAAAACACGCCCGCGCGCTACGGCGAAAACACGGTCATGCCTAAATATGGGCACGGCCGTGTTTTGATTTAGGCGCGCCCGTGTTTTTACTGCCGAACCTGTTCCCCTATATTCAATTCTTCGTTTCTCCCTCGTCCGGACTCCGAATCAGTTGCTGTTTGATCCCAGACGCTCGTAGTCTCGTCCTCTTTCTTTTAATGACAAGCTTGCATGATTCTTTTTCCATAAAGTGAGGTAGAAATCCATTCTTCTTCAGGTCATGCCCGAGTTTCTTCTCCCTAATCGCCAATTGATCTCTGATTGACTTGAAACTTGCGCCTATGCTTCACTTTATGTGTTAGGACCTGAAATGTGACAAAGGAACACAACCTAGCGTAAAATAGGCCAAGGAAGCGATAATGAAAGCTTAAACAATCAAGAAACAAAGGGGAAAACATGTGCAAATATCGAGTCATCACTACCACTTGACGAGGACATAAACCAAACTCTTCTAATCCTAGCAAGGGAGAGAGAGCTAGCTGAGGCAAGGAGATGGAGTGAAAGAGGGGGACAACAATTGAGTTCCGATGTTAGTGGAGGAGGAGTTGAAGAAGTTGAAGTTGAACCCGTCGTTGAAGAGGAAACGGAGTGGAACCAAAGACAAGAAGGAGGCGCTCAAGCCCACCATATGAATGTTGTGGCGGGAGAAAAAGGAGCCCCAAGGACGATGGGGTACTATATGGCCCCAAGGCCGGCGGACATTCAATCACCGATCCTACATCCTCCGGTTGTGGCAAACAATTTCGAGATCAAGCTGGCTCTAGTGACTGATACAAAGTAATGCTCTATTCCACGACAATGAAAGCGACTCACCAAGAGAGCACGTGCAGAGATTATTGGAGCTCGCGGGGATCTTGAAAATTAATGGTGTGCCGGCCGAAACTTTGTAACTAAGGCTTTTCCTATACTCACTCTTGGGGAAGGCACTTAGGTGGCTAAACAAACACCCACCTCGGTCTATAACCTCATGGGACGACCTCCCCAACAAGTTTATGGCTCGTTATTGCCCGCCTTCGAAGACGACGGAGTGGAGAAAGAAGATTACACATTTCGAGCAAGAAGAGGACGAGACCTTGAGGGATGCTTGGGAGAGGTAATCCAATTACTTTCATCGTTGATAGACCGTCATTTACACATGTTTCTACCCCCGTTCTTACACCATTTGAGGTGTTGATTCTCGTGTTTTAGGCCGATTTCACGCTAGGTTGTGCTTGTTTGTGATATTTCAGGTCCTAGTACGTGAATGAAGGCTTAGGAGCGAGTCTGGGGTCGATTGGACGAAGAACGGACGAGTGGCGAGGTTTTTGGGAGCTGCACGGGCAGACCAGGGAGGCTGCACGGCCGTGCACGGTTGCAAGCTGGCCGTGCGCCTCATGCCGAGGAGCTGCACGGGCAGGCCCTGAAGATTGCACGGCCGTGCACCTGGCCGTGCAAGAAGCCTGAGTTCGACTTAAGGGATACGCTGCGTTTCATGGTGCACGGCCAGAATGGTGAGGTGCACGGCCGTGCACCCTGGCCGTGCAACTCGGGAAACCCGGTTTTAAAGCCTAATCCGAGCCAGAAGTGAGAGAACAGTGTTTTCAGAGCAAAAACAGAGCCCTAGAGAGAGAAAGTACGAAGAACACATCCTAGAAGCTGTCTTAGAGCTGGATTTCATCGAATCGAGCCTGGAGATCGTCATAGGAGTGAAAATCATCGTCCCGGAGCAGATTATCCTCATCGTTATGAGTATGACTAATCCGATTCTTGTTTTCTCTTCTCTCTCTATGGAGTAGAACCCTTCTCTCACTTGGGGATGAAGAACCCTAGTTCCATGTGTTAGGGGATTGATTGTAATGACTTGGGATGATACTACTGTTTGATTTTAATCGAATGATGCATGTTTCATGAATTGATTTGAGTCTGATCAGCTTGTCTCAATTTCTGCTTCAACCTGAGATAGATAGAATCTGATTAGGTTGTTAGAGCCTCTTCATTCGATAGTAGGAGGTTGGCTATACGAGAGTTAGCCAGTTTACTGCTTTGTACTGGTGTTCTTGGCGCCAGTAGTGGAGTTCTGTGTTCATAGCCTCAGCTTTCTATCCCGGTGAAGACTAGTCGTCTGCCGGGTAGTTAGACTGAGAGGGCTTGGTCAGCTTAAGAGATTCCAAGCTACTGTCGGATCTTCCGCAGTCTAATCAACAGTAAATCAACCCAGGGTAAATTGCAATTGAAACCTAACTAAAGAGCTAGGGGGATTCATTCCCGAGTGACTCTTTCCTGCTTAAGAAAACCGAATAATTTCCTGCTTTATTTCTGCTTTTAGTTTAAACAACAATCACTTACTCTAGTTGGCTAGATAACAGAGAATCACTGAGTAAGCAGTAGATCTAGACCCCGGGTTGATAATATAACTTGCCTGTTACTGCATTCCCGGTCTGCGATTACACTTGGTCGCAGATTGGTGTTGTGTTTTGGCGTGTCAAGTTTTTGGCGCCGTTGCCGGGGACCCTCTAGGTTATTGGGGAAACGTGAGAATTTGTTACTCTAGCTTTTATTTTCTGCTTTTTATTTCTTCCACCTGTGTGCCTTCACGGGTTGTTTCTGCTGATTGTGTGCAGGTAGTGCATGACCCGTAGCCAGTCGGGAGATCTACTACCACTAGACCAGGAGCTTGAACGAACCTGCAGAAACTTCAAGCGGGCTCTAAAGGCGCGACTGGCTGCGGAGGAGGCGCTATCACAGCTGCAGTTAGAGGAGGAAGAAGAAGAGATGGCTGAACCAGGGAACCATGCTGTGATCCCCGAGGAGCAGACCATGGGCTCCTACTGGACCGCTAGGGCTGCGGACATGAGGTCACCCATTCAGCACCCTCCGGTCCCAGCCAACAACTTTGAGGTGAGCACCTCCGTGATCACCATGCTGCGCGGTTCAGTAGTGTTCCGTGGTAAGGAGGGAGAGTGCCCTCGATCACATCTCAGGCGATTCCACGAGCTCATCGATGGAATCAAGATCAATGGGGTACCAGCAGATGCCATCCAGCTGAGGTACTTCCCCTTCACTCTGGAGGGGCAGGCCAAGGAGTGGCTAGACACTCGATCTCCGGGCTCCATCACCACGTTCGCCAACCTGGCGGACAAGTTCCTCACCCGCTACCATCCTCCATCCAAGACAGCTGACCTGCAGAAGCAAATTACACATTTTGCTCAGGATGAGGATGAGACCATCAGGGATGCATGGGAGAGGTACAACAGTCTTTTCCTCAGGTGTCCCAATCATGGTTTCAACGATGCGTTCAAGGTGGGCACCTTCTATCACGCCCTCTTCCCGGAGGACAAGCAGCTGATCGATTCGGTTTGTGGCGGGAACATGCTGACCAAAACCCCGCCACAGCTGAATCAACTCTTTGAAGAGATGGCGGAGAATGGTTATAATTGGGGCACTGCCAGGAGATCGAGGAGAGCACCAGGCCGGGGTGTGCATGCTGTGGGCACCCAGTCATCTGATTTGGTGCAGGTAGTATCGAAGCTGGTCTCAGCTATCGATCGTTCCGGGATGATTCCAGGGACCGGACAGCAGCAGGCGATGCTCTGCCAGTGGTGCGAGAGCACCCATCATATGGTGGAAGACTGCCAGGCGATGAAGGAATCGACCACACCCCAGGAGCAGGTGAACTTCATCAACAATGTCAGGCGCAATGACCCCTACAGCAACACGTACAATGAGGGGTGGCGCCAGCATCCTAACTTCTCCTGGGCTGGGCCAAATCCCAGACCACCAGCTCCACAGGGACCACCGGGCTTCCAGAGGCCACCATATCAGCCCAGACAGGGGCAATTCCAGCAGCCAGGTGCAGCCCCTGCTGCCCCAGTGCAGAATGATCAGATGGCTGAACTGCGGGACTTGGTGGGTTCTCTTGCCAGTGTTAGTGCTCAGAAATTCAACATCTTTGAGCAATTCATGGAGAAGGCCTCGGGTCAACTCCTGGCTCTGGAAGCTGGTCAGAGGAATACACGGGCTGTTTTGCAGGATATCCAGACCCAGCTGGGGAGCGTGGCCCAGGCAGTGGCTCAAAGGGCTCCTGGTACTCTACCAGGGCAGACCATCCCTCACCCGCCGACCCCGAATGAGCGCTGCAATGCCATCATGACCAGGAGTGGCAAGATGACTATTGATCCCCCTGCTCGGGAACCGGAGAAAGAAAGCCCTGTCTTAGCGGCTCCAGCGGTTGAACAGGAAGTAGAGAAGGAAGTTGAGGTGCCTGCACCTAAACCGCAACCAGTAGTGAAGGAGTA